AGGTTAAAATTTTTCAAAGGAAAAAATAATTTCAATGGAAAGTTGAGTTTCTTATAAAAAGTTTCAGTGACTTGGATATAGACAGTGCTCATTTTTTAAAATAAACTATGAATTACTGCATTTCTTACTTGTTTCCCAGATTTTCTTCAAGTCAGCTCTTCCAAGCAAGACTGCGTAAGTCAAACAAGCGTACTTCTTACAAAATATGTAAGTCTATTTGACAATATAACTCCTCAAACCATTTATAGATAGAATGACTTCAGCATAATGCTGATAACACAAAGGGGTTTATGCTAAATTGTCTTTAAAAGCCAAAAATCAAAACAATTGTATTTGTTTGACAGGTGTTGGATGCTGGTAGTTTTGTCCTGTTGCCATTTTGAATCTATAGCTGGATTGATTTGGACTTTTTTTTTTTTTATTAAAGAAATTTAAAATGTCTGCCAATGCTAGTTTTGTGGTCCCCATGTGTCAGTTTGCATTGATAGTAAGAGTCGATTTGTATTTGTGTTTTTTCTTAAATTAAGCAGCTAAGCTAAATTACCTCTGTGTTTCACGATTTTGATAAAGGTGTCTAATTTCATCACTTTTTTTGAAGATGCTGCAGACTTCTGGCATAAAAGCATGTTTGCACAGCCGGTAGCTAAATTCCCACCACCACTTTACCACCATTTGTTTCAGAGCCAATTTACACTGCAGGTTCTTTGATCTGCATGTATTGGTGTATAATAACAGCTACAGATGATCTGGAAGTCAGACTAAAATAATTGAGGGAGGGACTAAAACAGTTTAAACTGCATCTCAAAAGAAACTTTGGAGGCAGTGAGATGCAGTATTGAATTTTATTGAATCCAGATAGTTTCATGAATTTCATGACCGATGGTGAGTAGTCTAGAGAACCTATGTTTGGTTAATTTAATGCATTTAGTGCACATATATGTTTAAATATATAATTATACATCTAGACAGAATATATGATCTTAATTTGATTTTTTTTAGCAAATAAGCATATTTAATAATAAAACATGACCTCAGAGGAAAATTGTCTTTCGTGAATTATTTTGAAAATATGGATGTTGTGCTTATTCAGTTCTCTGTTGCTGCAGTGATCTCTGTAGACTGACTCAGAGCTGGCTGGCTTCAGCCTCCACCAAAAACATAATCTGGTCAAATTTTGGTAGGTGGCTGTTTGCATGCAGATGCAACTCAGACAACAACTGGGGCAAGTTTACTGCAGTTTGCTGTAGTGTAATGAGCAGTGGGAGTTGTCGTGGGCCTGTTCCACTGCTCAAAGCAGGTTCCAAATCAACAACATATCCACACTGCAACTTGATCACCAAAGCACAAAGCCACAATTTTAGTTAATTGAATCCATTTTAATCATATTTAGGATTAGCCAATGTCAACATTTCACAATGTGTAGCAACGATTAGAGCAGCATCTTAGAGCCACTTATAGGGTAGCCAGTAGCTATTTTTGTACAGAGGAGGTGGCGGCTCTACCAGGACTTTGTTCAGTGTTTTATTGGTGAAGGTTTACATTTCTTAAGTTGTCCAAATAGGTATTGAAACTGCAATATTTGAAAATGGAAACCAATATAAAACCTAAGATTAAATTTACATTCTGTTGTTTGAGGATTTGGATAGTTATTATCATATTCAAAACAATTATTATGAAGACAGAAAAAAAAATCTAGTATAAGCATGTCAGTTCTACCTTAAATGGTTTGTTTACTCAGAAAGTGAAAATTAATAGGAAAAAAATGGCAATGCGCATATACAAAATAAGGAAGAGGCAAACTGACCTGGGACCAAAAACTAATAAGGTCTTACTTTCAGATAGGAAAAAAACAAAACAAAAAAACATGACAGTAGAAATGACACGAAGTCCTAGGTTTCCAAAATACCAACATTACCTCACCCACTGGGAAATATTGTTGTGCTGGAGAAGATCTTGGTGTGGTTGCTCCTTAAATAAATTGGTTTTCTGCCCCCTCAGTAAGCCAATACTGCACAGTTAAGCTACTCATGTTGTAGCCTAAGCAATGAGAGCTTTACTGAAAGTCTGTCAGCAGAATTCCAGTAGTTTGGTACCAAAAACTCAGCGCTAAACCACCTAATGTTAAACAAAACATTTAGTTATTTTCAGTCAAGTTCATTTTTTTGAATCATCCCAAAGGCATATGCTCTTATCTGTTGAAAGTGTATATATATATATATATATATATATATATATATATATATATATATATACTGTATAAGATTGAAGAATATCAGCAAAGGGCAATGTAAACCATGGTCCGTCTAAAACAGGTAAGAGGTGCGCAGTGCGTCCTCTCCGACTCACCCGAAATAACAAATTTGCATAGGCAAAAATGGGATTAGCCCTTAGACAGTGAATTCCTGAATTCTTTATAGAGATGCAAAATCTAGCTGAACACAATTGAAATCAAACAAACATACACATAAACAGAAATATTATCAATAATAATAATGTTGACTAGGCCAAGCTCTCTTTCCTCTCTGGTTATTTACATCGAGTCATTTTCTGTGCACATTTCTTTTTTTTTTTTTACAGTGTTAGGCTTCAAGTAGATCTAAAAAAAAAAAAAAAAAAAAAACTTGTACATTAACTATATGTGAAATAAATTAACCGACATGAGAGGTAGTGAAACACCTACAGAAATGTTTGTCTTCTTTTCTTAAAGGAAAAAAAAAAAAGAATGTGTCAGTAAGGCCAGAGCTTTGCGGGACCTTTTTCTTTTTTAGGCTCTAAAACTAGAGCCATGTCTCAAACATCATCTCACATGGGATCCGTGGGAATTTATAAACAACAATCTGAACTGATCAATCACCCTACATTACTTCACATCATAGTCATTGCTAATTAAACTCCACCTTTGCAATGCAGGTGTTAAAAAAACGAAATCTAAACACCCAAGTACACATCTCCCACTGCTGGAATAGCCTGGAAGCTGAAATACATCAAGAGGAACGGACGAAAGCAGTGCAAGCAAAGGGTTCTGCTTTCCCGTGTCCTTTATGTGCAACACCCTCAGTTTCAAACTCAGACCTGCTGGCTATTTACTCCCCTACTATGCTAAACATTAAAAAAAAAGTACACACATCCCAATATTTATGAATGTAAACTCTGTTTGATTGCACCATGATTTCAACATCTGGTTCCTGGTGAGACATTCTTGTGTTAGTTAATATATAGACAACATACAAAGTGTACTGTGCAGAGGAGGGGTCGGCCAGCAAGAGAGCTTTATGAGTGACTGAAAGGAAAAGGTATTGCAAGATTTGAAAAATTTGCCCTTGAAATAAAAGCTGTTCCAGATGAAAATAAACTTTTATTGTTAGATTTAAAAAAAAAATGTATTAACTGTATTTCGTTTGCCTGCATTTGCACAGCTCTTCATTCAAACAACCAAGTGACAGTCCCTATCTGGTGGAAATGTATTTCATCTGGATCTACGTTGTTCTGCAAAATATTCTGGGTAATTTATGTGGACTAGAGAAACATTGAGACTTAAGATTTATCCTTACGAGGCATGGGCCGGTCACGCTGTAAAGCTAAACCAAAGTATGAAAAAAAGGCTTAAAATTGCTGGATTTACCCCAAATCATGAGACCAGAAGCATGGCTAATTGGCATCAAATTCTAACTGAGCTTTTATAATAATTTTCTCCTTTTGTAATAATTTTAGTGTTACTCTTGTTTTGGGCAGTGTTGGCAAATCAGTAAATCTGAAACGCTTTTTTGAAGACCTTATTACAACTCAGCGGAAAATTATCTCTTTACACCCGGGAAAAATATTCATCGTCGCCTTACGTTTAGTTGATGGACATTTTTTTGGGTTTTTTTTCAGCTCCGCTCACCTTTTTAAGGCTGAAATCATCTCACTTTAACATGTGGGTGTAATTTTTATTTAAAGACGAAAATCTATTTTGGAATAAAGTTCTACTACTACCAAATAATTTATGTTTATCAATGAAATTTTAAATCCAAGAAAAAAAGCTATTGAAGGAAATAATGTTTTTTTTTTTCTTCCAACAAAACTGGCATAGACTAGAAAAAAAAAGATATGGTGACTGGAGTTTTCTCGGGTTGTATAAAAGAGATCAATCAAACCAGTCTTTCTCTGGCTGCTGAGCACTGCCACTCAGTAGGCTGAATAAAAAACAAAACTCCCCAGGCTAAGATTAGAGTTTGGCTGTCAGGAGCTTTATCGTGCACACACGGCATAAAAAACAAAATCTATCTAACCAAAAGGAATTCCGGGGAATTTTTCTACTGCTCAAAGTTTCCGTCCCTACCTCACTGTAACTTCTGTGGCCTGTCAACAATGACAGCATGAAGCACAGACACAGTGAAGCCAAAACAAAACAAGAGCTGTTAGATATCACCTGACTAAATTATATCTTTATTTAATGCAGGAGACTAGAAGTTATGTTCTGAGAATCAGGTGTCCCTCTAGTTATAGCGAGTCTTGACTGACTGGTTAGCTGATAGCTAGTGAAGCAGGTCGGCTGTAATTGACAACTGACATCTCAACAACAGAGACGTTTGGCAATTGAGCAATAATATCATGGATAACAGAGCAGACACTTGTGTTTTAAAAAGCTACATTCTCGCCTTAAAGAAAACATTATAAAAGTTGATTTTGGGCCACAGAAGGTGTGAAATATCAAACTTTAATCACAGTTTTTGCCATACTTAAGCTTCTGCTAAAATAATCCATATCGACCCTGCACCCTAACAACCCCAGGGTAACCTTAAAAAGTCCTACCCAGCCCTGAACCTCTTATCCCTGAACATGGAACCCTGGGGAAGTGAAATTACTCCGGAAAACCACTTTAAAACAGGCTGGACTTTCAAAATCCATGTGATGGTTGAAAGTTCCAGGTATTTTCTTTTCTTACAGCCACAATCAGAACATAATATCTACAGCTGAACAACATATTGAAAAATTATCCTCTTGATGATGAGTGACGAGTTCGAAAAGGACAATATGTATGCATGCTATAGTTGGTAGGCTATGGTGCTTCTAACGCTATGGACTGCATCTTCCTTTCTAGGGGTGTCTTTGTTCCATTAGATGGATTTTAACAGAGATTCTGGCTCTAAACTGAAGCATGAAGAATGTTTTCCTAAAACCATACAGCCTTACTCGTCTTATTTTCACGGCAGGGGAAATTATTCTGTTTAAAACTAAAGCAATGACAGATTTACAAATTTTTTTCTTTGTTTTTGTGTTAATACTGTTTCCACATACGGTTATATTAATGGCCCATGCCTGACCCTCTGCAGTCAGAACTAATTGTCTTTTCACTTCAATGCAGATCCAGATTGGCACAAGAACTTCAGGTAGCAAGAGAAGGCAGCAACATGGATGCCTCTGTGTATCTGCAAGTAATTAGCAGCGTTTATTTGACACGTCTAGCACTGCTCTACCCAACGACCAGATCATGTGGGACATATATTCATCAAATCAATGGACACAGAGGCTCATTGCATTAAAACTGCATATTATATGCTGCACTCATGCACCTTCTGCAAATCCATAGGCTTACCACAATCTATCCGTTAAAACGTTCACATATTTAAAAAAAAAAAGTGTCCATTTATATGCTAAACATTACATGACATTTGGCAATTTAACTTTTATTTTCCTGTTCGGTGTTTTACTGTATCTCACACGCACTCACACACACGTTATAACTGCATGCTTTCCAAGATAGTTTAGAAAAAAACAGACCAGAGTGTTTGAGGGCTGGCAGTGGGAGGGAAGATTAGCACAAGCATCCTATCATCTGCTTGTCTACAGCATGCTTAAACCCTTTTGGTTTCAGCTGAAAAGGCTTGATTGGAGCAAGACTATGCAGATTTCATTAACAGCCTGGGATAGTCCTATTTCAGCATTATTAGACCGGTCGTCTTCCCCCAAGCTCTAAAAAACAGGCTAGTAGAAATCCGATTCCTCCTCACTGGAAGTTTGAAGTCCCATTTGGCACCCAGTTATCCAATCCACTAAAATCTGATACCTCAAAGACAAGAATGTCAAAAGCTGAAGCCTTTCAAGGTTTAATAGCAGGTTGTTTTCACTTGTAGCAAGGAGATTGCTAGTGTTTTCTACCCACAATACTCATTGAGACAATGTACTGTAAGTGTCTTTTTGTATTTTTTTTTCCATTATGGGTTTTGGCCCAAACTTGGCACCTGTGCTTCTCAGGCTGTGGGAATCTTAAAGCGGGTCAGAGGAAAGGGAGAAAATAATAAAAAAAAAGGAATGGGAGGTAGGGATTGTTGGACAGACTGTGGTTGCTTCACAGCAGATCTAAAGCAGCACTTCTGCTGCCTTCCTTTACACATAAAGGCATTGTGATTTTTTATTTTTGTCTCAGCGGAGAGAAGTTTATGAGTTATAATATTAGAAGTAGCTGCCCAACCACAATTCTAGCCCTTACTTCTCCCAGTTAGATGAAGGAAAGTGCTCGGACAAAACACGTGGACGGACAGAGGAAGGGTTGGAGAAAGCAGCTTTTACATCTCAATAAAAACTGCAGTAAGCTTAAAACTGACAGAGATGTACCCTTTTTTCCGCCCCTTCACTGAACATACATAGTCAGGAGCAGCCAGCCTTAATATCTCTCAGAAAAGGTTGCAGTCCGCGGCTTATACTGTCAAGCTACAGTAGAGAAAGAGAGAGAGCTGCATGCAGAGAGAGCCGATGCTTCAACTGGTTAAAAAGGCAAAGATTCTCCCATTCCCACCAACCACTGGGTGTCATGTTTGGACAGTGTGGAGGTATAAATCAAAAAGAAATTCAAACAAAAAACAAAGAAATAACAGAAAAGACGTACGAGTAAAGACAGAGCAGTAGAGTGAAGGTAAAATGAGGTTCAAATATTACAGTACAGGATCAGTGGGTTTGTCCTTTATGTCACTCTCCGTCTCGGGGTCCTCGTCACTTGAGGAGTCCTTGTCCACGCTCAACCAACACTCGGCCGCAGGGTCGACCGATTCAACCAGTCGCTGTTAAGGTGGAGTCGGCCACTCAAATCAAACAAAACTGCTCAAATCGCTAGCAAAACAATCACTGGCCGCAAATAATGGTCTAAAACTGACCAATAAGCAGCCAGCGAAAGCTCGACCTAGCTCCAGTGAACAACTGGATTAAAAACTGCTTAAAAAATATAAATAAAAGAAAATAAAAAGACCCAACCAGCTATCTTGGATGTTATTTAAGTTTTTTTTTTTTCATCAAAACAAGAGCGAGACTTTTTTTTTCCCCCCAAACCTGACTTCTGGCACCATAGTAGTATTTGCAGTTTTAAGTAGTAGTCTCGTTGGAGTACGTTGGCAATGACGAACGGTGGGGAGGTTTAGGTGTCAAGGCAGGTGCGCCTCCTGCTGGCCAGGAGGTCTCTGTAAACGGAGGAGTTGAGGAAACGGGGGAAGGAGTCCCGGTGCATCAGGGTGTAAATCTGGAGCTGGGCCTCTTCGTACATGGTGTTGCTAGGCTCCGCTAAGCTCTGGTTTATTCCTTCTCTAACCCGAGAGTCCAGACTCACCTGGGATGGGACAGAATATGGCTTTTATTCTGAAAGTCACATTCACGTTTATTCAATGAATAAAATGTATGCTGAGTTTATCTCCTAAACGCAATCAGTCCAATCAATGAACTCACCTCTTTTGGCGACAATATAGAGACGTAATCTTCGTATATAATCCGGGCCTTCTCATCCACCACTGAGGGGTTCGTCTCCTTTTTTAACTCCTCGCAGGCCAACCAGAAAAGCAGGTTGTCCTCGCTGTACTCGGAGCGCAGGAACTCCCGGAAGATCTCCCGGCCCTCCAGCGAGCGCAGCATCATCTCAAAGCTCCGTGCCCAGGACAGCAGCTCTTCTAAACTGGGGTGTCTGTGGTGTAACAAACAGTCAGACAAGCAGAGGGACGGAGACACACAACGATGAGGACGCAAGGGACAGAGTTGGACTTCACTTACTGTTCTTCAACAGCTTCAATACTGCCCATCTTGGTGCAGGTTTGCCGTTCACTCCTCTCAATTCTATCTTCATTCCTGTAAATGAAACATAAAACAGCTCATGTGCAACTAGACAAAATACCACCATTTATTTCTTGGAGTTTAAGAATCAAATCAATTGATTTGATTTGTAGCTGTATACATATCAGGGTTCTTGCCAGCGTATTTCAGCTGGGGCTGAAACTAATGATTATTTTGCTAATTGATTAATCTGCAGATTATTTTTTAAGATTAATTGATATATAATCGGATTGCAAAGGATTCCTTAGAGAAGATCGGTGAATAAACCAGGTGAAAGTAAAACTTTTTTTTTTTGGATAGAGCAAGTAAACAGACAAAAAAAGCAATATTTAAATGCAAAATATATATTTTTGGTGGTTTTGATATAATTAGTGATCTAAGTAGATCTCTCTGTCAGCAAAATTCATGTTTTAGAGTCTATAGTGTTAAAGATTATTCGATCACTAAATTAGTTACAATTATTTTAACCCTTTATAGGGCAATCAGTGGAATACTTTTAAAATCAAAATTTTAAGCCAATAGTGTTACTGGAATCCAGGACAAGACCTTATTATCTTTGTAACGTATTTTGATGGCAAATAACAAGAAACGCCACCTTCCCCGAATACATTAAGAAAAATTACTAAAGTTGTTCTATTAGAAATGAATGAAAAACAATGATAGTGAAAGAAACAACACACATACATGTTAGAGGTGAGTATTGGCATGAGTGTTGCGATTCGATACATGTTGCGATACTTGGGTCACGATAAGATATTATCACGATATTGCAGTATCACTATATATTGCAATATTTTCCCCAGCTATCAAAATCAAATGATGAGATAAAACAGCAAGTGCTGTATATTTTCATCAGAAAATATTGATTAGGTATTATTATCCATGTTGTTTGGGGTTTTCTTCCACTGTGACTGCCTCAAATAGAGATTTGGTGCTGCATGCACAGTTAAAGGGCTCCACAGCGCTTTCTGCCAGAGTGGTGGTGCAGAGGTAGCCCATTTTCCCATCAATGTTTTATGTAACCATTTATTTTTTTTTTTAAATCGATACTAAGAACGAAAGATCGATATTATATTGGGCAGCCGAATATCACGATATATCGCCAAAACCATTATTTCCCACACCCCTAATACACGTACAACATAACCTTAGAGGCATTAATGCTGATCCTTACATTTATTAGTTTATAAACCTACATATAATTGTTAACTTTTAAACTATACTTTTAAAATTTTCAATTAGCTTTTTACCTTTTTTTGTTAACTTATCTTTTTTTCAGTCATTCAGCATCTTTGCTGAATGACTGGATATAGATCTTGTACTTCTAGACCTCACTGAGGTACGGGGGGGGGACTCCATTTGTAAGGGGTATGCAAGTGATCAAAAACGATAACTTGCCCTATAATGGGTTAATAATCGATTACTCAAGATTATTCCAATAAATTATTTCAGCTCTAGTTTCAGCGTAAATCAAAGTTCATAATGATGTTGAAATTACGCTGTCAATGGCCGCGGAGAGAGTGTTTTCAAACAAATGAAGTAGGGCTGTCATAATCCAACACTGATCTTATAAATTGGTCCAATATTAGCCAGAAACTTAATATCGGATAATATTGACCTGCATCTAAAAACATTGATATAAGAGAGCTAATAGAAGCACTATAGTTTAGTCGGCTACAGCACTTCCACCTGCCTGCGCTTGTATCCTGCTCACAGAGTCAATGACATCACAACAACAGGTGGTGCAAAACTTTTCCAGCACGTTTCCTCCAATTTATACATTTTTATTTTACTTTAATGGTTTTTTTATATATATAACTTAGACATTTATATAACCTTTAGTTAATAGTAAATGATGGTAAACATTACTCCACAGCAGTAGGTATTTCCTTTCATGCCGGCTTTACATTTAAGTCCATTTGCTTTGTGCGACTGCGTGGTGGAGATAACAGAGATAAAGGTTTTAAATATAGACCCAGAACTTATTCTGGGCAGATAGAAAATTGCTTCACAATCCTGATACTGCTGAAAACTGAAAGCGAGAGACAAAGATGCAGTAGAAGATACGACCTATACAGCTTTAAAAATTGTTCAAATGTTTGTTGGGATTTCACCCTCTTGCTAAACATGATCCTCTTGCATTTTGTAAACTAACTCCAAATAACAAAATACTAGAAGTCAAACAAGATGTTTTAGCTTAAAGTACAGTTTGACCTCTAGTTCTGTTTCAGCTTTAGCTGCAAGACTACAGAAAAATAACAGCAGCAGTTAGCCAACATAAACTTTGAATATCCTTCAAAAAGTCTGACAAAATGTTGATTTTACTTCAAAAATGGAAAAAAAAAAAAAAAACTCCTTAAAGGCCCAACATATTTGAAGCCGAGCTGTTAGTTTATTCCTCTTCTTGCTTAAGTTAATCATTAGTGGACACTAAGAATAAAGTTTCAGACTCATCACAGCAGCCTCTCTGTCTCAGATCTACTTGCAGAGACTACGTTGTAACAAACTGAGCAGTCTATTTTTGCCCCTCCATGGAGGATCTTTCCTTCCTCTTGCTGTCTCTTGTCAAAGTCCCTATTGTGCAGCAGTAATGGGCTAAGCCAGCCGCAGTCCCCCCGCCCCCCGGCGCCCTCACAATACGCCTAAATATACAAGCTGTTCTTCACAGCTGTTTTGCATGTGATGTTGGGATGGAAATAGAAGACACCCTGACCAGATAAGGGCCTTGTGTAAGACTGGGTGAGGATTCTCTCTCTGTTTGACCCTTTTTATATCTTCCTTAACATTTGGCTTCCAAAGTCAAACATGAACCAAAGTAGGAGATGGGATGTCTGACTCAGAGGCACGTTTCAAGCACTCCACTGAGGAGACACTGGGAGCATTCTGCCATTTACATGTAAGCCTGACTAAACTTTTACCCACGCTCAGTAAGCTAAGCAAATGATCCCCTCCAGCCTCAAACCAAAACAGTAAACAAACATATGTGTTACAGAGGAATTTGTTTTTTCAGGGCTTAGTTCGGGGGAACTGACACCATCGCTGGGCTCAAGCACAAACACGAGCGCACTCACAGTCCCCAAGCTGCGACCACTTCAGATGAAGTGCCGTGAAAGAAGCAGTGCATTCACCATTCACTGCCTGGAAACAATGTTTCATTCACTCCTCTCTCCTGGCAAGACCCGAGCCGCAGCCAGGCAGCTGGAGAAGCTTCACTTCAGCTCTTAGTTTTGGTGCCTTGCTCAGAGGTAAAGCAAGAGACTGCAACTCTCTGACCTGCAGAACAATTTGTTCAGTTTCCTTTTAGAAAGCCACCCCAAATACCGTTTTAATACCAATTACAAACCTAAACATAAAGTTTGGATCTTCATCCATTTTACAAAGATTAAACCAAAGCCTAGGCAAAGTGTATTTCCATTTCATGCTACTCTAATAATCTTTAAGCCCTTTATTTAGTCCCAGTTTGCAGGACTTAAGATCTGAGAGGAAACACGGTTTCCTTCACATGACTGGAGTTAAATTTCGATTTAAACAACGAACAGGAAATCTTTTGGATTTGTCCTGAACCAATAATCAATATTTATTTTGTTCTTGTTAAATTAATAAAGTGATTACATGACTTCATGCCTGTAGATCAGTTATCTCTACATTCTCGTGAATTTAGCTGTAAAAAAGGTCAGGTCATGTCAGGTACGCTGGTCATTGACCTTGACGAAGGCACCTTACAGTAGAACTACAGTCAGTCCCTGGACTGGCATGGCTATCATTGGTCCTAATAGTTAGGGACAAATGCAGAGGACAAATTTCCCACAGGGATCAGCTTCATAGTCATGGTATTTCTTTGATTTTATTTAGTTTGCTAAGTCTATTCATACGCCCACAGACTGCCAGACGTTGAAAGGGCAATGTTATTGCGATTAATGTTAATATGCAGTCGAAAATGTACACATTCAGTAATAAAATGTCACAGGGAATGGTATGGGGGGGATGGTCATTTAAGAAGGGGGATGATTTTTCATATTTTTTTAAGAAGGGGGATGCCATCCGCCCTCATACCCCCTCAACTCGAGTACTGATTGCTACAAATATTTCACTTTTTTATCCCTTCTTGCTCAAAGCTCAGTTTTAATCAACTTCTGAAAAGTGATTCTAAGGTCTTCAATGGCTAACCCTTGCCGGATATTTATGGTCGCTGACCTGCCGGAAGCTAAACAGGCTGCCTACTAGGACTGCCTGCATTTAGCTTCATGTTTCCTCCTCTAGCCATAGGGCTGGTGGTCATAGATTGCATTATAGCAGCCGCCACACCAAGCCGTCTATCATTCTCCCGCTCCATTCTCCCCTTACTCCTAAACAGGACCCAAAGACAGTTGAACTCCTCCACTTGAGGCAGGAACTCTCCCCCAACCTGATGGGGACAAGGCACCTTTTTCCGGATGAAAACCATGCCCTCGGACTTGGAGGAGGGTGTAGAGCTGGTCTACTGTTCCACAGCCTTACTGGGGAGGCTGCAGAGTGGTACTCCCCTATGGTTGGAACACATCCTCCGGTCCCTTTCCTTATGCAGGGGAACCACAACCCCAGTCTTCCAATCTAGGACCACCGTCCCAGACCTCCACACCGTGTTGAACAGCCATGTCAGCCACGACAGCGTTGAAATCATGCAGAGCTGAAAGGTACTCAGATTGGATCTCGTCCACCCTAGAAGCCTTGCCACTGTGGAGTTTTTTGACCTCCTAGGCAACTTCAGCCTGAGTGATGAACCAATCCAGCCCTGAGCACCCTGTCTCTTCTTCCCCACAGAAGGCTGTTAGATCGATCCTCAAAGTATTCCATCCACCATCCAACAATGTCCGCTGTCAAAACAGTGTTAGCAAAACACTGCCTCCCCCTCTGGAGGCACCGGACAGTTTGCCAGAATCACCTTTCAATTCAGTAAATTTCTCTATTTATTTGTTGTCAAACGGTGAATCGACTAAACACACTTTTCTAGTCAAAATGACCACAATTACATTAAAGTCTCATTCCCACATTAATACAGCAACACATAGCTGAGCGGGACACTCTGGGTTAAGTGACAGCCTGCGCCCAAACATCAAAGGGATCTCCTTCGCGGTTAGATGTTTTTACAGTGTAGAAATGCAGAGTGAGGCTCTGTTGTCGTGTTTTCCAGGGAATGTTGCAGTTTTCCTTAAATAGCACGCCACGTTTTTACATTTTTCATTTGAATGCAAAGTAGGCATAGAAAGCCTGTCAGCACCCTGTGAAAATAAAAACAACTAGTGACAGGAAGAATGGAACCGTATCCAACTATTGACTGATCTCTAGGTGCGCTTTTCATTTTTGTCTCAAAATCTGACCGCAGAAAACAGAAATGCTGATGTTAAAAACGCTTTTTATAAAAAAGTAAAAAAAAGCCTTAACAGTCATTTCAAACTAAAGAAACTACTTTTCAAAGACAAAACAGGAAATACAAAATACAGCATGTGCCTCCAGACGGAGCTGAACACTGAGAGCGACTTATACTCCCATTTTCTTTGATAGCTATATTTAGTCTTCTATTAATAGTTCTCAGAAAGAAAATCAAATTATTGATAATGTTACCAAAAAAGCTTCATGCTGCTCATCTGACAGAGACCCTACAGTGAGGCTACTGTTCTGTTTTAAAAAGCTGATATAAGAAGTTGTTTGGTGATCTTTAAAAAAAGCCAGTCAGTTTAGAAATGCAATTATTTATGCAAGCTCTTTCCTGGCCATTGGTGATGGGAGGTTTTGGTCCTTTGCTATGCTGTCTGTCCATCACCCAATTATATATAAAAAGCAGGAAATCATTACATTTTGTCTATGGTATACATTTCAGCAATGTTACAGAAGTAGAGAAGTGCTGAGTAGGGCTGGATATTGTTAAAAACCTGACAATTTCCTTCTATTTCACTTCTTCGACTCAATAATGATTCAATTTAAAAGCTTCCATATTGATTTTGTAATTACTGGTAGTAGAAATACCTGGGTGTTCACGTCAATGATAAACTGGACTGTTACAGCACAGTAGTTCTGTATTGTATGAACAGTTAGGTGAAGTTTTTATTTAAATTTGTGCCGTTGATCTTTCCTTTGTCTAATGATAATCACCTGCTGGCCTTGGGAAGGACACAGGTAGACTCCAAAAGGTAGATGAAGGTGCTGGATTGTTTGGAAATACACCATAGATAAACAATTCCGCTAAAAAAAGCATATTTTTATTTAACCAGGAAAAAATTTGCATTTAAAATCCGTTTTTTAAGGAGTCAGGAATTATGATATAGTATATTTACTATGAAAAAAACTTTACTATTGAGTTTATATTCTGAGCTTTTAATTGAGTTTTGTTTAATTTATAATGCATTTAAAGCGTGCAATACATTTTTATTATTCAAAATGGAAAAGAAATAACTAGACATACAAATAAATAAATGAATAAACAAAAAAAATGTGTTTTTGTCACAAAAAACAACTAATTATTTTTCTTTATTTTGTTCTTCATTTATTTATACATTAATATATGTGAGTTTCATATTTAGTTTTGTCATTTTTTTGTTCCTCATATGTTAAAACCTAAATAAGGAAAGAGCTAGATTAATTAATGAGTAAAATAATTGATAGCTGAAGCCCACTCTGAAATACATTATGGTTTGTGGTTATATCTTGTTTGATCTATTTCTATGTTAAACAGTGTGGTGAACCAGGCAGCAATATTCAACTGTACTGCTTGCTTACCAAAGACACTTGCAGCAGCCACACCAGCAGAGGCAGCAGGTGTTCGGTCGGGGCTGTCCGGGGGCCTGGGGTGGGGCCTCGATGTGAGCCGCCTGCCTTTTTCTCATCTCCACTCCACTCACACTGTGGGGCTTCACGACAAACGCATGCACAAATACAGAGCATAGTTAAAAATTATTCAAAACAATCGCACGCTAACAGAGAGAGCAGAACCAAATCAACCCTCGTGTTCCACTCTCCGCTCGCTGGAAACACGTAATCCAGAAAGAGGAGTGAAGCTGGAGTTGGGATGTATCCTGAAGGAAAGGATGAAGAGCAACAGAGAGAGCTGAGGGAGGAGGAGGAGGATTCCCATCCTTGTTTGGTACGAGGGCTTTCTGGCTTCGGCCCAAGTGTTTCACTCAGCCCTGACACACACTGGATGTGCATTTTAATGGCCGCAGACAGAGAAACTGGATCTGCATATCACACACATGGATGGGCACATGTGCATAATAAATATACTAATTCATGCACAGCTGTATTAACCCCTTCATTTTCAACCTTCATCATCTGTTCAGCATCAGAAGACGCAACATCTGTCAGCGACTGGCTGGAGATAAAGATTTGTGCAGAAAGCTTTTATAATGTGGGGCCTTTTTTCCTGGCACTGATTGATCGTTTTAATTGACACTAATCTTTGTGCCACAGCCGATTTTCTCTGCTAATGTTTTTGTTTCCTGATATGAGCTCTCCTTCTCATATAAAACCCTACAGGAACAGCATGGTAATTAAGCAGCAGGGTTTTCTGATTATCTAATGATGGCTGGAATACTTCTCTCCAAAAACAGATCAACTCTTCTAAATTCGGACTTTATTTTAGTTCAGAAGGACCCCTCCCGCCAAACGTTCCAGCCCTCCTCAATTCCTTGAACTATAAATAACGTAATTCTGTCAATTTGCCTCGTTAGACGTACTAATATCCAACCTTCTCCTCCCTATCATCATGAAATCACTCGGGTTGCACAGAAAGACTCGATCAAAGAGTCACAGCATCCTTTGCACTTATTGGCATCCATGCATTTAAAACTCTTTAAATTAATAACAGTATCTCACACTGAAACGTAACAAAAAAAAAACTTTATTGTAAGCACATGATTTGAAGGGCAATGAATCCCATCCACATCAAAATAAAGCCATTGTTACCAAACATACGGCACCCTCTAGCAATTTCTTTTTAAACAAATTACACTTTTTGACTCGGCTGCGAGGAATTTAAATGATCATTGACTTTCTGTTTCCTTGTGTTGTAAAAAAATAAAGAGACACAATGGCTGATTTCTGTTAACAACTCTGAAAATTTGCCAGAAAATCACTACTCTTTTACAACCATTGTTATCTTTACCCTAACAAATAATAAAAAAAAAAAAAATAAACTACGGTACACATTGAGATAGCACAAAAAAAAAATAAAAATCTTAGAAAACTGCAGCAGAGAATGGCTGCATGAGGTCAGCCAATTTCCATAATGGTTTTAGGGACCGCTGTAAAATGTTTCTGTGGTTAGTCTGCTCCCATTTTTAAATCAAATGAACTTTAAAACAGTGAGATGAGCAAACAACCTGATCAATGTTTGAGATTCTCGGTGGATCAGGAATATTTGAACCATTTAATGTCATATAATGTGAAGTTGGAGGGTGACCACGGAGCAGACTGGAATATGAATGATTTTATTCACAATTTTATGATGCCGTTTTTTTGCTTTCTTTAAGTTGTATAGTGCTTTATTTCAAGGGTTCACTAGCTGCCTCTTGGCTAATGCTAAGTGGATTTGAGTGTTTAACTTGTTGCCAACTTCTCAGATGTTTTCGACCATTAGATTTATAATCTTCATACATGGCCTTCATTCTAAGGATTTTTGACAACTTTCAATATATAACCTTAAGCAGTCATATTACTACAGACTGGTTAATTAAACGTCCCCCACAAATGTGCTTCTTTAGATATTTTACTGCAACTGCCTGCTAGCCTAATGCCCTTCCTAAAACTGAACAATTTTTGCAATCTTAGCAAAATATTGCATGTTCCACTATATTATGTGACACAATGTGTCATTTTATCTGTACACATCACAGTTTTCTACTGAATAACTTATGTCCTAAGACAATAGGCAACTTTATTAGTGAGCCACAGATCAGCGTTAGACATCCATCTGTGCCGCTAGTGTTGTCGAAACAAATCTTAGAATGAGGAATTTGGACGCAGGGATGTCTGAAAAAACAAAAAAACACTTGGGATGCTGGTTTACCTGGCGGGTTCAAATTAAGAAATAATATATTACCTCCATGGACAATATCACAATACCTCAGCCTGCTGGTTCATATGTGCATTTAAACAAAAATAAAAATTAGCCGCTTAGCCGCATCTTCATCCCCAAATTCCCCCAAAACATAACAATTAGATAAGCTCAATATCAAATTGTACAATAAAACATTTAAGGTTTCTTAGGGGGAATATGTTCAAACATAAATATAATTTTTTACATAAATTAATAAGTTTGCCAAAATGTAACTCAATATATAGAGCGTCAAAGTTTATTCAGTTATTATATATATTTTGGGTCAAGTGGGTGATGTGAGGAGTTGGTCTAGGGCCATCTCTGACAGCAGCTGCATTCCTTTTAACTGGTCGGTAGATGCAGGTTTTTGTCAGCTGTCAAGCTGTGCTTTTTAATATCAGACACTGAAATATGATCACTTTATGTTATTTTTGGTCAAAAAACCCTTAAACTGCAGTCCTAGAACCCGCCTCAGTGCAACATAAGACCACAGATTCAGAGTTATAAACAATAATGCCTCAACAATCTTTTGGCTTGATTTCGCCAAATAGCCATAAAATGGAAAAACAACACAGTGGAAAACATACTGGACAAAGGAACAGCACCTAGGTCAGCACCTAGGTCAGCTGACTTTGAAAGACTTATCTTATCAAGGCACAATTAAATACAGGGTAAAGTTAAAATATTAATTATCAATAAAAGCAGACTTTTTTTAACTGAACTTCGGATCCTCCCACTGACAGACAGTTCAAAAGGGGCAAAAAGCAAGATTAAGTTCTAAACAGCTGAATTTACCAACATAATTGAAAAAACAGAAGTAGAACCATAATAATTCAATAAATACATAACTGTGCCTCATTAATTGGTCCATAAATGAAACTGAATTTTAAATGTGGCTAAAAAAAAAAAAATAAAAACTTCACCTGCACTCCATTTCAGGATAGCTACGTTGCATCAGGGTGGTTAGGATCTATGTTTGCATAATTTCCTCCTTGATTTTGCCAGTTTTGGTCATCAGCATAGGATGCGCATATTTATGTGGACAAACATGGCAAGTTGTTTGCACATGCTGCTCCACTCGTTTTAGACTTGCAAAGCGATCTACTAAACCAGGTAGTAGATCAGCTTTGCAGAGGCCATTTAATTTGCAGGTGTTTTAAAAAGAAATTAATACATTTTTATGATCAATCGTTTTAAGTGAACATTTATAAAACATGCCCTGTGGATCTGTGATGCTATCAGCCTGTTTCTCTTTCAAAGATGGTTTTATGAGCTCTTGGAGGTAACCGATCAGTTAAACAAATAATCTGGTGGCCTAAGAAAAAAGGCTGAATCTTGTTTCATATTCTATATCTAAATCAAGATGGAATCGGCGTACCAGAGAAAAAAAAATCAACCATCCTTCATGGTTATCTAAGTTCTTAGAATAAAAACATAGAGAACGCCTCTAAAATTACTTAAAGAAAAGAAAGCAGAGACGATTTAAGTACGTAGATCTAGAGAGATTATAAAAACAGGAATTGTTTTAGTGAAATGGTAAAAGAGAAGATTAATAGATGTAGAAAGTGTGATAGTCATAGTACCGACCGGAATCGGAATTGTTTTTTTACAATAATTAGTTTAGCATCTATTGACCAGTACTGCTCAGATTGTTGATTAAATTCATAATAGAGGAAATTTTCTCATTGCCTTAAGTCTGCCAAAAACATTTCTAATGGTCTTACTCCAAATGTAACGGAAACCTTTTGTCATTTTTTTTTTTACTTTAAGCCTGAGCAAAGGTAAAGGATAGGCCTTCAGATTAGGACTGCAACTAATGATTATTTTGTACATAATTAAACAAGGTGAAACTCAAACTTTTCTACTTCAGGAGTTCTGGATATAGCATATTGACAAAATAAAAAGATTTTTTTTTTTTTTTACAACATAAATGTAAAACATTTATACATTTTTTTTTACAATGATGATTATTTAAGTAATCGATTAATCACAATTAATCCAATTGATTGTTTCAGACCAACTTCAGATTAAAAGTGATGTCTAAGGACATGAAGCTGTTCCAGCTTTGCAGGAAAACATTGTGTTGCACCAACACGGACATTTCCTCTCTACCCAAACTTTCAATGCGCAAAATAAACTATTAAGTGTACATAACTCACAAACACTTTCATTGGAAAGTGGACCTACAAAATCACTAAGGTAGCAGAGGCATTTTTAGACCTACTGGAGTAAGACTTTTATCCTTATTTCCTCTTAAAATGATACGCCACTAATGACTAAATGAGCAGCTGAAAGTTTTTGATGGAAGCAACTGAACGGAAGGAGCTACTTCTAAAACATGATCACTTTACTGACAATTAAATAATGACATCTCAGGTAAAAAAAAAAAAGCTACTAAAAAAACTACAAGATTCTCTAAGCAGGGTTTTTTTAAATACACATAAACAAATGAAACATATTAATACTGTAAACAACTATAGTCAATATAAAGAAAGCTCTTACTTGCAAAGTCATAATTCCAATATAATCCCTAAAGATCCAAATTACAAACAATATAGGCTTCTCCCCTCTTTATCATTCCCTTTTCTGAGCATAAGCGCATGTGATGGTTCACAATGGTGTGACAACGGGAGGTAAGCCAAGCACAACCTGCCTGATATGCAAATGCAGTCGTCAGACCAGTGTAGCGACCATCAGTTATTCAGCAACCAGGCAGCACAGTGGAAAACAGGCTGCCGGATGCAAATAACGGTGAGGGTTTGGCTTTGTTAAAAACCAGAAGCAAAGGCTGCTTTGACAGGAGACGCAAATGTTGGTTGGAAATAAAAATATTTTTAGTCACTCAATAAAGATGAGTGTCTAAAAAGGGACCCAGAGAGGTTACTTTAAAATAATGACAGGGAAATACTAATGGAAATACAACTAAAGTGCCTCATGAAAAAAGTATTCCCCAACAAATATTACTGCAAAAAAGGTGAGTTGTCTCTATGTTTTTCCCATTCCTCTATTAGACTGAAGTCCATGTGGCTGTGAACATAAATTTATTAAGTCTTTCTACAGATCAATAAATGAGTCTGGACTTTGACTAGGCCCTTTTCACTTCAGGTCTGCTCTTACGTACCATTGTAGCTACCCATCAACTCTGAGCTGCTTCTCTGGACGCACTAAAGAAAGGTTTCTCCATGGCACGATGCTGCCACCACCATACAACAGGGAAAGGTCAGGGAGACGAGCAGGTATTTTACTACCTGCAGTTTTGCAAGTATACCATGGGTTACGTTTAAGGCTCTAGCAGCTTCTTCCACCTATTCTTGATACTCCACATGTGGCAAATCCTAAACAGGACTTCTTCTGGCTTCCTTCCTATGACTTTTCACATTTTGCACAGCTTTAAGCCCTGAACACACCAAATGCGATTTTGCGTCCGATCCTAGAGAAAATAGGGCCAGATGACGTTGTAGCATTGAGAGTGAGTGGAGATGAACACATCCAACATGATTTTCTGCAAGAGGGCTTGCATAGCTCTGACTGAGATAGACCACAGCCTTTGTTGCTGCGTTCTTCTTTCCTTTAAACATAGTTCTCATTATAATTTTTTTATAAAGGCCTGAACACACCGATTGTTAACGACTTTTTACTCTTCGATCCAATTTTTTTTCAAAGTTTCACCAACTGTGTATAGAGAGGCTACGCTTAGGCAGGGTGGGCAAATCTGCAGCGATTTTTTTCACTTCTGTCTCTGTGCTATACACAAATAAAAAAAAAATTCCACAATGGACTTTATGACAGATAAAAAGACATAAAACAAAACACCAGTGCATTCTTTAAAGCAAAGCATCACTTAATAAGTCTATGCAACATCTCAAACCAGAACAGATAGAGAATGTTCATAGGAATTTAAAAAAATATGAGAGATCTACATCTAAAGATAAGAAAACTACAGCAATAAACGCTATGAGGTGGTTTATATGCTGACTGAGGAAGTGAGAGGTGATTCTCAGAGAGTAATCTGTGATGTTTATTGAAATTTTTCCATCTTTTTTTTTTATAGAGGGGGACAAAGATACGCAACGTTAACCTGCTTTGTCTGCCCCTAGTTATTTTGTGAGGCTCAAAGACAATCACTATTTTAGTATATCCGCTTTTTCCTCCTGAAGTTATTTTTTTCCCCCGAGGAGATCAACAAATAGCACTTTCTGTCCCTCGTTGTTTTTGTGAGGCACTAAGGGGATCACTAACTCGTCGTTTTCTGTCCTCCTGAACTCCTGTCATGGGTAAAATATTGTATTTTTTAATGTTTCATTGATGGTTTTTGCTTGCTATATATACAATGTGGGATTCCAAAACTGACTCTTTGCCCGTGTGACTAACAGATTTTATTTGTTTCTTTATTTATTTTATTTATATATGTATTTTCTCTTAAAGAGGATGTGTTTTACATTGTAACCGTGTCTCTCTTCCCGTCAGACAAATGAAATTGCCAGTGAATTGCTGTGAAAAAAGACCTGGGGTCTATCTTGACTTTTAGGGGAGTGGTGGCTTAGTGGTTAGAGCATTGCACTTGGGTTCCAGAGGTACTGAATTCAGGCCCCACTCCTATTGACAGTCACTCTGGGTCCCCGAGCAAGACTCTTAACCCCACACTGCCCCCCGGGCGATGCACAACGGCAGCTCACTGCTCCCCAAGGTGATGGATTAAGATTCATTATTTCGTTGCTTTGTACTTGTGAGTGTGTGATGACAATAAAGTGGAATTGTTTTCTGAATTCTATTCTTAGTCAGAGCAATGCAGCTCTCTTGCGTAAAATCATGTCAGGTGTGATCATCCCCATTAATTAAATGCTAAACGCAACAACCTCGTCCAACACGATTTCCTGTCATATTGGACGCAAAATCGGATTTAGTGTGTTCTGACCTTAAGCCTTTTAAAATCCTCTATCTGTTCTGATTTCTGATGCTGTGCAGCCGCCTGGTCATTAAGTGGGGCTTTGCTTTTTTGCTGCTATGTTTTATTTTCTTTATTTTTTGTAAAATAAGTTTTTAGAACCGTTCCCATTCAAACATGGGACAGTGTTGCAATTCATTGGGGAACAGAGACAGAAGTAAAAAAATCTGCACATATCGGGATCGGCTCACCCGGTGTATTCGGAGGCTCTCTATACGCAGTCAGTGTTATGTGGAAAAAGTCGGATCAGAGATTAAAAAGTGATGTGCAACCAGTGAGACTCGGCCTTTTCCCCAGGTCTGCTTACAGTACTGTGGCCCTTGGTCTTTGGCATACCGTTTGTTTATCACTGTTTTCTAAACCTCTCAGGCCATCAGAAAACAACTGGACTTATACTGAGAATAAGATCCACAAAAATGGACTTTATCTACTAAGGAACTGACTTTTGAATGCATTAACTAATTTTCTTTTCACAGTATTGGAGTAAAGAGCACATCATTTTTTTATTTTTTTTTAAGATTTTTATGTTGTTATTGTTGTAATTCCCATAATACAGCACTATGCACAGATCTAAAAAAGCTGGGCGAACCGGACAGCGGGAAAGATCAAAATACAGGCACTCCATGAGAACATTGATAATAGATGTAATGAGAAATAAGAAATTCCAGATATAGAAAAAAACAATATCAAAAAAGAACAGTGACTTTCAAACATGTAAATCAGAGAACACATACACACACGCATGTATATATATATATATATATATATATATAAATGACACCACAAAATCCTTCGTCATCTTCACCGTCGACAGGCTGCTGCCATGTTATGCTTCTTTTCCAGACATATGGAACCAGTTATATCCAATTAAAATTGTTTTTATAAACTTATTTTTTTTTTTAAATGAAAGCATTTAAAATGCCACGATAATCACATTTAATGAATTTTAATGCAAATTATGGCCATAATTAAAAAAAATTATAATTTAGTGACCTTTAATTATTTTTAATGACCCGCGTAAACCCTGTATTTTTATGTTAATTGAATGTGTCAGTAGTTAAATATTTAAATTATACACTGTGTAACTTTTAGCCACTAGGGGTGCTAGGCCTACAACTTTCAGATTTAGCTCCTCCTGTAGACCACTAGCAATGCTATTTAACTATAGGTCGAATCCGACCTATAGTTAAATAGGTGAGCTTTTGAGAAGGGCGATGTTCACGGAACGTTGATACCTGAAAATACCCAACTAACAATTTATCCAAACTTGTCAAAGATAAACAGAGGTTGTAATTTGGTTCTCTTGTTACATTGTGATATTGATGAAACCTTAGAATCAGCTTCATGCTTTATCTAAAAACCACTGTGCACCAATAAAAAAGGCGTTTATAGTAAAGCGGCAATATTAACAAATAAAAAAAATTCTCATTGAGTCTAATTAAATCTGCATTTAAATTAAGGAACTTATGAATTAGAATATATATAATATTAAAGAACATTTTTTTTTTACTTTAATGTGTTTGTTAAAAAGGCAAATAACCGTAAATAAACAGGGAAGTTTAAAGGAAACCAAGAAAAACTATTTAACATCCATGTTCTTCACTTTGAAATAACCGTAAACTTTTTTTCTGGCACTTTCCAGAACAGCTGTTATTAACACTTACCATGAATTAACGAGTTCCTAAACACAGGTCAGACAAAGCAGTCATGGCGTGAGGTAATCGGTTGCTGGGTGGTAGCAAGCTGCTTGACAGAGTCACTGATTGGTGGAGTGTCTGAGCGTGCTGGCTGATTGGCTCGCTGGAGCTACGGAACGAGGCGATGGGGTACTTTTTACCACGGCGAGGAGGAGAGGTTACTGGTGTCACCATCCCTGACCCTGTAGCACAGGAAGGAACACGAGAGACGGGGTGAGGCGGAAGGACGTCTCTCCTCTGGGTTCCTTCACTCACTTCCCCGTTCTGCTTCTGTTGCCGTCGGCTTCCTAGGACCTCAACGGAAAAGGATCCTTTCTACGCGTGAGAGAAGAGGAGGAGGCGAATGTACAGCATCTGAAAAAAACAAAACAAAAAGTGAAATATGATTAAATCGACTTTAACAATATAATGAAGCAGGTCCTTTATCTATTACCTATAGATCTATAACCTTCATTTAACTAAAGTTTTTCTATTACACATATTTTCCCGCTGAAATGGTATCTATGATCACCATTAAACTAGGCAATCACAAAAGTCCTAGTTGTTTAGGTGCTGACGTGATTTACGGCCTAATCAACGTGTCGTGTTACAAAGGAAAAACAAGACGAGCCTCTGGTCGGATTGTGAAAAAGCTAAATACTTCATGGTCACAAGTTATTTACACATTAAGACAAGGAAATAAAGTTCCTCATTTAGCAATGCAGAGCAGAAAGCCACAGGAAGTGCACTTGTACTATTATTCCACCTTAAACAGGATCATGCAGAGGGCGGTGAAGTACTAAATCACTGATAATACCTCCAAAGCATCCTAAAAGTGGTGGTTTTCAGTTTTGTTTTACTATCAAACTCTTGCAGGTGAAGCTAAAGGCTGTTTTTAAACTTTAGGAGGTTCAAGTTCAAAACAAGGATGCCCGATATCAAAATCTGGGTAAACACCTATATCTGTTATTACTATTTACGCAGGGCCGACAATCAAACAGATATTATATATTTTCCCTGCCTTCGGAAACTGAGTAAAACTGACCGGACTGCTGACATCGTTCCTCTGCTTCAGTTAAACGCCCACAATCTTCTGTTGCATCACCATCAATGTCACATGACCGGCTGACCTGAGTAGATATGACTGGATTTTAATCTGTTCAATCTATTCAAAACTTTTCCTAGACGTTCCTTTTGGTAAGAGCTAGACCTGGCTATCAATTACATTTGCAATATAATAAAAATTTAACACAACTATATTTTAAATAGCAGAATCAGTAGATTTTGTCACATTATATGTAACTAAAGTAAGACACTGACTTTCTCACTCAAGCCCTTTAGGAGACAGTAATGCAATTAAAGAGAGTTTGCTGGTAGGGCTGAAAGAATTAATGAGATTAATCATGATCAATCAATTATTGAAACAATTGTCAGCTAACTTATTAATCGATTAATCGTTAACTGGTATATAGAGACTCTAAACATGCCTTTAGCTGAGAGAGCACCCATTTAGAGCAGTAGGTATACCAAGATAGCATTTAAGTAAAAAAAAGAAAAGAAAACTTTCATCTCTCAATATGCTCTATCCAGAACTCAAGTTGAAATATTTTAATTTCACCTGCTTTAACTTAGTAAAAGAACCTTCTTTAAGGAACTTTTTCTATCCGATATTAAACGATTTGCAAAAATAATCCTTATTTGCAGCCCTATGCCACATGCATGGGAAGAGAGAGTTGCAGTTAGCGCAGTGATCCATGCGAGTACCAGTGAGCTCTTTTCGAAGCAACAGCAGGAGTAAAGTCCTGCAACAATGGGCTCTAGGCAAGCGCACTTCCAAGGTCCTGAAAATGAATGAAAGACTGCAGGAAACATCTACCGTACATGTTGGTGGACACTAGTGCAGAAGGAAAGCAAAATCTAACTGCAATGTTAGGAGATTTTGTCAAAATGGTTCAGCCCTGGTAACCATTGGTGTTGCACCGATACCGATACCAGTATCGGACGGGGCCCCGATACTGCCCTAAAATGGTGGTATCGGTATCGGCGAGTATCCAGTAGAACTTTTTAATAAAAAGTTCTACTGGATTCACTTTGTATTAGATTTTTTCCTGCTTCACAAAGGTAGGCAGCAGCTTGACAAAGCCATGATGGCAATTATTTTACATTATTATGGTATCGGTATCGGCCGATACTGCACAGCCAGGTATCGGGTATCGGTATCGGGGCCAAAAAATGGCATCGGCGCAACACTAGTAACCATAAAGCTTTAGTTGTACCATTAGTGGTCTGCGAGTGTATTGCAAGGGGTAGATGAAAATAATTAATTTCTCAGGTAACAAAATAGGGCTGGGATCTGTTCTACTTAAAACAACAACTTAAAACTTTTTTTAACCAACCTTTTTCAACCAAAAAGCATGTTCTTTTTATATGTTTGAATTCACCTTCAGCTTTGATATCAAAATCATGCAGAGGAACAGACTGCAAATAGAGAACAGCCTGGCATCAGCTGTTTTTCTACACCTGAGCTCATGAAAGCAGCTCAGGTGTCATGAATGATGAAAACAATGTAAATGGAGGTAGTCTGACAACAGAATTTTGTTTCCAATCTCTAATGTTTAAATATAATTATAGGGGAGTTACTTAGAGGAGCTCCAGTTTTATAAAGGCAGATTTATAGTATGATTTTATTTTGTATTTATTATTTGATTTTTACCTGCTTCTGGGAAACATATTTATGTTGTTTTTTTATTGGAGTTGGAAAGAACAACATGCCAAAAAATGTATTCCCCAAGGATAAAGGGATTCAATAAAATACTTTTAATTTTATAATTAGTTATAGTTCATTCCAGTTTTGGACAGTCACAAATATGTTTGACTGAGAGGGGGATTTAATGGTAAGAGAAATGCCCAAAGGGGTACACAAGACGAAAAAAAAAGGTTGGGACACACTGCTTTAGACGAATATAAGCTTCAGCGAATAACTTTACAAGAGGGAAAGAATCATTTATATCAGGAGCTTGAGGGAGACTCTTGAAGGCTGAGAATCAATTAAAAAAGAATAAAAATACTCCACAAAATCAAACATCAGGGTGCATTCACACTGCCTGTCCGGTCCAGGGATCGGTTTAACAGCAGAAAATTCACAACTTCACTTGGTGCAGCTTCTTTTTTTTCTTTTTTTTACACAGAGACAAAGCTAAACATTTTTTTGCACTTCCAAGATGGAGGAAAATAAAAACATGAAGAAGACAGCCACATGAAAACAGTTTGGCAGTCCAGGGGATTTCTCTTGCTACTTTGGTGTCCAAAACTTCTCGTTGCCCAACCACACATCCCCATGTCTTAGGATTGGTGCTGTTATTTTTCTTTTACTTAAACTTGCTGCTCTTTCATTGCACCTTCTCTTCCTGTTTTTGGTACATCCTGGGCCCGCCACACCGTCACTCAGCAAGCAAAGCGCTCTGCAGTTTGAATAAACCAAACCCCGTTCAGCAGTTGTAACCATGCCAGGGTACGGATGGGCTCAAAGATGTGTGATCGGCTCCAGAAACCAGACTGGTGTAACATGGTGGAAAACTTTTTTAAAAGGTCTAAATTGGAAAACATTGTTACTAGATTACGGTAGATTTGTATGGTAAATATGTGGCCCTTTATTAGAAAATCTAACATTTTCTTTTTGTTTTACAAAGCCGTTGTTTAGCATCCGCCATGTTTCAACACAAACAGCTTGCAGAGGAAAACTCTGATTTAGATTCAGAGTAAAATTACCCACCTCTAAAAGTCAATGCAACACAAATATATTGTCGGACTAAAGCTTTACAGAATAAATCGGTGTTCTGTCAGATGAGCATACCTCGTAAGACCAGCAATACCTATAGTCAAAACACAAGCGCAAGACGTCAGATTTGTGTTTATTCCTTTAGTTTTATACCTCAACGGGCCGTGTATCTATGGAGGACCAATCCTGCCACAATTAAAAATAAATACAGAAATAAATAAATGCTCAAAAAATATATAAGCATACAATTAATTGCCCCCCCCCCAAAAAATACAATAAATAAATAAATGTAGGTAGAAATGAAATTATACAGTGAGACATAAATATACCTCTTAATTAGCTTCTTTGTTTATTTGCCTTTGTAATAGAGTGAACCCTCCTTTATCATGGGGGTTACGCTCCAAAAAGAGCCTGCAATAGGCGAAATCCGTGAAGTAGAAACCTTTATTTCTTAACAGTTATTATACAATGAAATACTCCATAAAACATTGAAATCAAGGAACAAAAACTTATAAACAAATAACTACTTTTCTGTACTGTAACATAATATAGTTATAAATAAATAAGTAATAATTTGAATCATCAATACGAACTGAAGGGTATTGCAGGGATCAGCACTACCCCACCGTGACGGATTGGAATGGGAGAATTGAAATGAAAAATGATTATGAAAAAAAAATACAAAGTACAGTAGGAGAAATAGTGACTGACGTGTACAGTACAGTACACTATTTCACTGCTGTTCTGACGGAGCCGCTGCATCCTGACTCTGCTCTGTGGCGTTTTTTTCTTCTAAAGCCTGCGGTGCAGGTGTGTTTTTTGGAGAGAAGAACATAGTTTATCGGTAGTTGTTGTCCCTTTATTTTCTTCTGGGCCAAAAGATCCTTATAAACCGACATGCCACCATCGATTATGTTTGACAATAAAGTTTAACAATGCATGATACAAATCCGTGAAACAGCGAGACCGTGAAAAGTGAACCGCGTTATAGTAATTACCACTATTAATAGTAATAGTAATTACCTTATTAATTTATTGTCCTTTATATTCTTCAACTTTATTTATTTATTACTTATTTCTTTAAGTATTTATTTATGTGCATGTTATAATTATAACATGCAAATATAATTTTTGTCTGGTTAATTGTTCCTTTGTATTTTTTTCACCCTATTCATTTCTTCAATGCTATTTATTTCTGCCTGTCGTATTTACATTTCTGTACGCATTTTTGCCTAATTATGCATATGAGGAGAGGTGTGTCTTAAGGGCTCATCTTCTCCCCATTGGTGGGCTAGCAGCCACCGGCCACTGTCACAACAAACATGGCTGCCTACGATGAAGTGGTCAGTGAGCTGACATATTTTTAAATATGGCAGGAATGGTCTTCCATATTATCCCTTTAGTCTCAAAAAAACCCAAAAAAAAACAATTTAAGGTCAGATCGCCATATGCTTCAAAAAACACCAAAAAGAAAGTAACTAAATAGTTTTTTTGGACATGACTAAAGGGATAAACGCTCATTGAGGTGGTTGAAGTGTATTTTACGTACCAAACTAAAGGGATAAACTAAAGAGATAAAGGGGGATTGACTATGGGTATGCTGGTCTGACAGAGTATGCACTTTTGACAGAACACCGGCAGTTTTCAAATGATAGACATGTGCTATGGCTTTGGCCCTGTCTGAACAGCTGTTAGCTAAACTCTGTGCTATGAATTGGCTTCTTTTACTGAAACTGGGAGTGTGCAGGCAATTAAAGAGGAGTGAGTAAAACAGTTACTGCTCAGAGCCTCACTACAGCGCCCTGCTTGAAAACGATTTAACCATCCCTTTAAGGAAAGTTTTCCAACACTGAATCAACTAATACCAGCTACTTTAGGGAGCTCACGAGTTGATCCAAAACCAGAAGCTTGCTCTGAGCTATCACTAGTCTGTTAAACCTTAAAATAAGCATGAAAAATACACCTTATTTAATTATTAAAATACTAGTTACATCTTTATTTTTGGTGCATATTTAACCTTTTTCATTTATTTTACCTATTTTTTAATGCCAGTCCCTTAAGCTTGAAAACATTTTTTTTAAGCATTTATCAATTAATATGTTTGGTAAATTAACAGTATAGACCATTTCCATTTTTGTTATTTCTAGGTGCATCGAAATCAATAATATTTGCACCTTTCAACCAGCCTCCTTCTATCATATAATACATGCAGGATGAGTATTAGTCCACAGAAAAAAACAGCCCTGCAAAGGGAAAAGCCTTTATAACTGCTGATGGCAGTTTAAAAAAGCTGGGTTTTAAACAAAGGGTTCTTCTGTATTTTAAGGGCCTTTAAAAAGAGATTTTGCATAGCCGTGTGCAAAGATAAGGTTTTCGTTTGCATTGCACTTGAGAGATTTTCCACAGCCAATATCCAGGAAAAAGACTTCTCTAAAGTTACTTCCTCAAAAATGCATGTGCAAAAAAGAATTGTGCAAAGTTAAAACTTTAAGATGAACCTAATACTGATTGGTTAAGAAGCCTTTTTTGAAATACCTTCATATCAACCTATTTAGGAAAGAACTGCCTTCAAAGTTAGGTTGAATAATGGAGCAGGGCCACATTCAACACACCGCCATCCCAGGCTGGAGTCCCAACCCATAGAGACTGTTGCTTTATGTCTTCCTCTTTTCTTCACCCTGTTTCCTGTCAGGCCACTTTCAAAATAAAGGCTGTCATACTACAAAAACGAACATTTGTAAAAAATAAAAAAAAGAATAACTTTATTTCCTACTATCCCTATGCTTTAAACTTAATTTCATTATATTCCAGAGAATGTGCTGCAGTGAGTTTTTCTCGTTGAATAGTACATTAAACAGAGCTCTGCCCCACCCCCACATGCTGCTGTTCAGCTCTAGTTTAGAAATAGAAATAGAAAAAAACTTTATCGTCTACCATACAAAATGATGCTAGAAATTTGCCTTTGGCTTGCTCACGCACAACAAAGTAAAAATACATTAAAATACAATTATAAAAGAGTTAATTGCAGACACAGCAGCAGCAGCAGATTCACTTCATCAAGGGAAGACCGAGTAACATGACCCAAGTTTGCTGGGTAAAGAAAGCTACTATTTTCTTAATAGTAATGACACTTAAGTGATGCCCCCATAGAATCGCTCTTCTTGGGGTACACTCTGCAACCTAAAAATGACGTGTGTGAAGCAATCAACCCGAGGAGCTTCCGGATACAGAAAGCGCCCGTCTGCTCTTATTTACCCCTAATTTCTGTGTTATTAACTACTGTTATGGGGTAAAGAGAAGTACAGCAAAAAGGGAAAATGTTCTGCACAGAAAAAAATCTATTTATCAGGGGCTTACTCTGTATATTTGCTGTATCCTTAATATGAAAAACAAAATTATAAACTTGTGAATTATAACATTATAACTATCACAGCTGCATTGGGTTTTCCATTGCTGAATGTGTGTAAATCAGGGGTCTCTTTAACATTTTCCAGGCCAAGGACCGCCAAACTGATGGCGAGATGGAGCGGGGACCCCCTAATTATATATATTGTATGAAATTGTGTTATATCAAACTAGTCCTATAGTCTCTCTATTACAGATGGAGTAATGTAACAAAAGTAATTTCCCCCTGGGATTGTTAAAGTATTTCTGATTCTGATTCCCTTCCCATTGTTGATGGGACAGGTGTTGTGAATGAAATGGTGCCCAGCTTGACAGAGCTCCTGTTTGTCGCTGAATGTGAGCATTGATGACTGAAAGACATCTTCTGCCTCCATTTATCTGTTTACTACAGTGTGTTGATTTCATGTTAATGTGTATTTAAAGACATTTCAATTAGTGGAAAAAAATTGCAGGGGAAATATATATATATAAAAAAAAAAGTAATCAACCAAAACATTTGCGACCCCAATGGAGTAAGTGGACCCCATAGGGGTCGCGCACCCCCTGTTGGAGACCTCCAAATTATAAATATAAGATCTAAGATATGTTCCCTATCACTCATTCAGTTAAACAGACTAACAGCAACAAAACCAAACCCAAATTTAACTGAGAAATACATTAAAATGACTATACTAAAATGAATCCATCAGGCTTTCAGCATAATTGCTCAGACCAAACACCTGGTTTACTAATTAATCATTAGGTATTATAATGTTCATGTAGACATCCATAAGTTACATACATGTTTCAGATAATCTGGAACATGGTGATGAGAAATGTGTGTCTCCCATGTTTAAGTTGATCACCCAAGTTAATGGGATCATAGTGTCCTAGGATGCAGCTGGAACATAACCTGTGCTCAGAATCAACACACCCATGGGAAACTGCAGAGTGGCTGTTCCTTCAAGAGGACAAAATCATCTCACATAGCGGAAAAACAAAAGCTTCAAAGGCATAAACTCTGTGGGATGGTTTGTTTTAGACATGATCGGTGAACTGTCACAACCCGGGGTGTTTGGGATCAGTGTGTAAAGGCCTGTGCATATCTTCAGATGTGAAGTAGATCAGCTTCTGTTCTGTGTGCACTAGCTGCGCTGCTAGCCTCCTGCTCTGGGTCGCGTGCAGCTGCTGGAACCGCTGTGTGTCTGAAAGAGGGGAAGACCTCCTAGCTTTAGCTAATGAGTAACAAACCAGCCGGGGAGAGAGCTGCTCGGTGCCGAGTATCGCACAGAGGCTCTCCACAAATCAAACACCACCCACTTTCTCGCTGGCTAGCTTTTAGCCCGAGAGCCGCTATCTCTGACAGCGCGAGGAGGAGGCGGCGGCGGCTAGCCCCAGTTAGCCCGAACAAGCGGAGTCTTACCTCTTCCCGCTGGCCTGTCACTGTCCTACAGTGATGGGTGTGAAAACGCGGCGTCGTGACGCTTGTTTAGAGGCATGGTGGATGGGAATCCCACGGTGTTATCGTGTCCAGCGCCGCTGTTTTTCCTGCCATCCGCCCCGCTTCAGCACCGATCTCCGCCGAGCTCGCCTGGATGCACTGCGCATGCGCGCTGCTGCTCCGCGGCTGCAGACGGTGAGAGGATGCAGCGCCTGGGCTCCGCGCGCCGCTGTCTGCAACACACGCAGGGGCCACTACATCTGCTTCACCCACGACCCTCTCATAAACAGGCTTAAAAAGGGCAAATCTACTTCACACTATTCAACAAATGTAATGTTAAGTATAAATGTGCCCCATTTTGTCATGCAAATTATTACACAGATTATTATTATTGTAAACTTTCTTTTGCTGCTTTCAAAATAAAACGAAGATGTTATTTTTCAATAACTAAACGAAGATAAACATATTACTATGTAATAAATTAAATCACTCTTTTTTTAGTGTTCTCACACTGATAATTATTGTATTGTACTGATAATTATTATCACACTGATAATTATTGTATTGTATTATATGAGCATGTGTAATGACATGATTATCTTATTTTATAAATTAAGATGCACTATATTGCATCTTTAATAAAGAAAAATAAAAGTAGTTTTTTATTCTAAATTCAAAATTAATTAGTTCAAGCTTCGTCGGATAAGTGTTTCATTATTGTTTCTAAGAAGCGATCACAAAATACACGAAACCTTTATTAGTTTCGAATGAATCAGCTTTGAAAATTGTAAAAAGCGTTGATTCTCTAAAAAAGAAAGGAAAAAAAGAAAAGAACAAAACAAGAGAAAAACCCAACAATTCCAACTGTTAACACAAGGGGGCACCAAAGCTCTGTCCTCTTAATGGCAGAGATGCTCACAGATGCACCTGCTGTAATGCTGCAGTGTGTGCCTTTAAAAACGCTATTTGACTTAAAATAACCCAATAATTATTTCAGTTAGTGCTAGATTACCATCACTTATGTTACACATTAATTTTGCTGTGGATATTGTATTTGATTGCTTTTTTATCATACATTTTTTTTGTCTTTTATGAGCCTATATCACAATTTGGTCCCTGTAATATTATCTACCTATAAAGTTTGATTGCTATAAAGAGTTACATAAAAAGCTAGCGACATGTCAGGAATGATCTAACTGGTTGGTTTACTGACTCTTTATATGTCTGGAGCACTATTTATGGAGAGGTTTAACATCTCTCCTCCATATTTTTATAAAAGCAGAACACTGGGGATTAAGAACAAGGAAATTTCATCTCTTCCTCTCCAATATGACGACAGCTTCACTGACTTGAACATGATGAGGTGAAAAAAATATAGATTGACAGTTCAGTGTCTCAAACCCCAAGCTGTAAATTCAGAGCAGACGTTCTAGCTTGACCCTGAGTTTTCACTCATCTTTTTCTTTAAAGTGGTAAAATGTTCACTCTCATGCATATGGTGTTTGTGAGGAATAACGCTGTGCAAATTGGTGCTTGAGGGAAACAAGAATAAACTCCCCACCATGCTTAAACTGAGTCACTTTTGTTAGAGAAGATGCGCCTCCTTTCCATTTTATATTTATTTATTTATTATCTCGGTAAAAGCACCTAAAATGTTTATCCCAATGTACTTGCTGTTACAAACAAAAATTGTGTGCATTACTATTCATCCATATTTACACAAATATCTCTAAACAAAATCCAGAACATTTATCTAATAGATTGCTGTTTTGTGTAGTAATTTAATCTGTGAAATCTCAATTTAAATTCCATTTCTCTGTGAAGGCCTCAGAGGATTCTTAGAGATTTGTCTTTTCTTTAACATCTCAGAGCCTTAAGACCCTCTGTGCTTGAGCAATGGATTGTTGTAGTGTCTGACAATGCCCTCCTTCCATTTCAATTATTAACCCACAATTATATGGAGGGCTGTTGGATCCGTAACTAAAATACCTTGAATCAACCGCTAAAAATGTAAAATGAAGTTAATAATGAATAAAACATTTGCAACATTTTGCATCCGTTACTGCGGTGTTAAAATTTGCATTGTTATCAAGATAATTGGATAGCCTCCGTGAGTTGCTGAGAAATAAAATTTAGAGCTAAATGAGGGAAAATAAGCTTTTCTAAAGGCTTTATGCACAAATGCACAGCCTAAATTAAACAGGGAGAATACCACCACACGTCTCTTTTTAGTGCACTATTCTGGTAGAATCATTAGGTTATGGGTCATTTGGATATTATTTAGAGCCACCCACCTATGTACTGCTGCAGACAATGCTCAGCCTTGATGAAAACTTCCTACTGAGAGCTGCATCTATAACTGTGCTTCTCTAACTCCATCAACGAGTCCAACAATGCATTTGCAGGATCCTTGAAAAGTAACTCAACAAGCTCTAATATAGTTAATGCCAGCATTCTTTTGCATACATCAAAGCACATACCAGACATGTCGGGATCAATTCTTGGTCATTAAAGGAGCTATTCTCAGGCAATCACAGAGAGTTCCTGTCTGTTAGATGGTCTTCTTTTTCAGTACAAAAACTGCTTCTGCAATCTTTGTGCCTGAACCTCATGGATCAGAGACATTCTCATTCCTGCTGCTATCAGACTTAATAAATAGTGGCTATATGCACATAAATTACATTCATTTATGTTTGATTTGCTGAGATAATATTTCAAATTTACGTTTAATAAGTATATTCACAAGCTAAACAAAGCATAGACTCGACCCTTATGTGCTCCCGATTCATGTATTCTGAGCATTTAAAGCCATAGAGTATGAGTATTATCCTTTTGAACACTTTACCATGGCCATGGGACGTGGGGGTGCTGTACAGTAGCACTCCCCTGGTGGCGAGAGGGAGTCCTTTTTTCAAATATATTAAAAATACTTCAGACTTCATACTTCAAAAAGCCATCAGGAGATGGAGATAAAATAGGAAGGTGTAACAGAACATGTTAGAGATTGAACTAACAAATTCTGCAGAATGGGAAAGTAGAGATAGAATGAAGCAGATGAAAAAGGGTCCCTATGTCCTCCAGCAGTCTAAGCCTATAGCAGCATAACTATAGCACTGGCAATAACATGGCTCTAGATAACCTGAGCCACTCTAACTATGAGCTTTTTAAAAAAAAGGAAGGTTTTAAGCCCTTAAAAGTAGACAGGTTGTCTGCCTTACAGACTAAAGCTGGTAGTTGGTTCCACAGGAGAGGAGCCTGATAACTGAAGGATATGCCTCCCATTCTACTTTTAGAAATTCCCATAACCAGTAAACCTGCAGATTGAGAGTGAAGTGCTCTGTTAGGAACATAAGGAACAATCAGATCTCTGATATAGATGGAGCTTGGCCATTTAAGGCTTTATATATGAGAAGGAGGATTTTAAATTCTATTCTGGATTTAACAGGAAGACTTTGAAGTAAAAGTAGAATAGGAGAGATATGATCTCTCTTTATAATTTTCATCGGAATTCTGGCTGCAGCATTTTGGATCAGCTGAAGGCTTTTAACTGCAGTTTGTGGACTTCCTGATAGTAAAGAATTACAATAGTGCAGCCTGGAAGTAACAAATGCATGGGCTAGTTTCTTCCGCAGATGAAAGAAGGAAATTCTAGAAACCTCTTTGATATAGGATATAAATGACAGTCCTGATAAAAAACAACACCAAGATTTTTTACTTTATTATCTGAGATTAATTTAATCCCACCCAAATGAAGTGAATGACTAATGTGCTTCATTTTTTAAAGACTCTGGTCAAAAGACCATAACTTCTGTTTTGTCTGCATTCAGAAGCAGAAAGTTAAGAGTCATCCAGGTTTTTATGTCTTCAAGAGATGCCTGTAATCTATGTAATGGGTTAGCTTCATCTAGTGGTATAGACAGATACAGCAGAGTATCATCAGCATAACAGTGAAAATTAATCTCATGCTGTCTAATAACTCTACCGACTGGGAGCATGTATAAAGTAAAGAGAATTGGTCCTAGCACTGATCCCTGTGGTACTCCACAGGTAACCTTGGAGCATGAGGAGGAATTATTATTAATGTAAACAGACTAAAATTGGTCAGACAGAAACCAGTCTAGTGCTGTTCCTTTAATTCCTACAAAATATTCAAGTCTTTCTTAAAGAATATTATGATCAACTGTATCAAATGCAGCACTGAGATCTAACAGGACACCGCAGATACAAGTCCATTATCTGAGGCCATGAGAATATCATTAGTGACTTCCACCAGAGCTGTTTCAGTGCTATGATGAGCTCTAAAGCCAGACTGAAACTCTTCTAAAAGTGTATTATTTTTGACATCCTTATGCACAATTTATCTTACTATCATATCTTCCGTGGTCTATAAGATGTTTGATCTATTTTTCATCTTTTGCTCTTTTGGGCCACTGTTGATTTTTCCCCACGTTAGATAAAAATAACAAAAAGTGGTATTGAATGCAATTTAAAGTCAGGCTAAAGGTAGATCTACTGATAAAGAAACCAAGTTATCCTTGGATACGTGAAGCCAGCATGCTTCTGAGGATAAGAAAATAAAATAACCCTCAAACCTCAGGGCCTTCTAGCTCTAAGAAATGTCTTTTGTTATCTTCTCCCCTCTAGTCATTGTGTTTGTTTGATTTATAGCTTAGAGTCCAGACACCCCCCTGAGGCTATTCTGTGGTTAATTTGTTTGACTGCTGCTCATGTATGTGTGTGTACACGTGTCAGTGAGATAATCAGAGGACAAGCAAGAAAGGAGGTGATGAAGACTGATTAGCAGGAGACTGCAGTAATAGCTATGGAGCCTATGAGGTTGTGTAAAAGTTCCACATTGGAGTGATGAGGGTTGAATGCTGAACAGAGGAGAGCCACAGGTTGAGAGAAGCAATTTTATTCAATAGCTGTGGGGTTTTTTCACTGTAAGTGTAAGTGCAAGGAAATCCCAGTGGGACCAAGTTCCATCTGCTTATTGCAAGGCTGCAAAAAAAAAAAAACAAATAAAGCAAAAACACAGTTTTCTCTGTAACTTTTTCAATAGGGTTCAGTTAGCGCGTGTGTTTTAAAACCTAGATATAAATGCATCTAAAGCTCCAACAATTCACTATATTCTTCTTTTATTTTGTCAACAAAAG